ATTCAGTTTTTTAGATTCCACATATAAGTGAGATCATATGGTGTTTGTCTTTCTCTGACTGACTTATTTCACTTAGCATAATGTTCTCTAGGTCTATCCACATCATTGCAAATGGTACAATTTCATTCTTCTTTATATCTAAAGAGGACATACAGATGGCCAACAGGCATATGAGAAAATGTTCAACCTCGCTAATCATTAGAGAAATGCAAATAAAAACCACCATGAGAAGCCCAGCCCTTTTGAAAGCAGAACCTCTGTCTGGCCCACCATGAAACACTGATCTCTCTCGATCTCTCGGCTGTGCGGCAAAATCACTTTTAGTGATAATCATGAAATAAAACAAATGATAACAGCCGGGCGGCGGGGGGAGAATGAACAACTTCATTTTATTAAACTTCATTTTTGTAATCATACTGGTAAAACAAATTTAATTAAAGAAGAAAATAAAATTACAGTACCAGAAAAGTAAAGAACTCATACAACCTTTCTCCTTAAGCCTATAACACATATCTCACCTAGGCTGTGGGACCCCAGAGAGAGTAAGGTTCTGGAGATTTCTCCGTTGCTGTTTCCTAGCACCTGGCACATAGCAGGTGCTTAATAAATATGTGTCGTATGAATTAAAGCATGAACAAGTGAATGTCTATTAAGACATAAAATGTAACTAGAAGGGGGAAGAGGCAGGAAGGAAGTTTTGAAGAGATGAGTGATATTCGATCCAAGGAGAATGTGAGAGAAATAGGCCAATGGCCCAGATGGGTGCTACGCTATAGGAGGAAGGGTTTCTGGGCTGCTTCACCTCATCTCTACCTCCTTCCTAGGAGCTGGGGCACAACCCAGTGTCCCAGGGACACAACCCAGTGTCCCAGGTAAGTCTTGAAAGAAGAAAGGTCTAGCAGAGGCCAGGCTCTCTTCCTTCTAACTAAGGGCCTAGATTGCCCAAAAGGTGGCTAAGGAATCCAGTCCCTTAGGACAAAGGCAGGGCTCAGAGTCTCCACATGGTACCAGGGCGGAGAGGGGAGGGTGCCCAAATCCCCAGGACGTGTTCTTCCTGCCCTGAAGACTCAAGTCTCCTGCTTTGACCACAGGCAGATGGGGAGCACAGAGGTCATGGGCCGCACAGTGGCAGGGGCCAGAGGGGCTGTGAGGGGACTGTGCACAGAACCAGAAAAGCGTGCAGGCTCTTCTCCCCATGCTGCCTTGGCCTATGTCAGGACCACCCAAGAGGTGGGTAAAAAAGGCAAAACTTTTATCTTCTCAGTTTCACATGTTTTGCTCACTCACAATGCTTAACCTCCAACACAACCGACGGCAGCTAGTACAAGTTCTGAGGATGTAGTTTAGAGGAACCCGAACACCTGTGTGAAAACCAGCTTAACTCTCTAATGCTCTGAGCAACTGCAAGCCTCAGCTCCCACCTCCATCGGTCAGATAGGCAAGGCATTCACAGCTAACACTTACTTTGGATTTGCCACTTCCAGATGCTGTTCTAAGGGCATTTTTTTGTAGTAAGTAATTCAATCCTACATGAGCACATGAGCACCTCATAGGGTCTTACATCTACCCTTGTTTCACAGATGAGAAAACCCATGCACAGAGGAGCTAAGTAATCTTATCTGAGGTCAACAGCAGCACCAGGATTTGCACCTGGTCTGTCTGGCTGTTTTCAAAATGAGAGCACTTTGAAAACTAGGAAGCACACACAAATGTAAATTATTATACATTTACACTTAGCACATAGCTTTGTGACCAGCTCAAATCCTTTATACACTTAGGGGCTAGTTCTAATTTACATGATTGATGCTAAACTAATAAATGAGAACCTTTCCCAGATGACCTTATCAATTGGCCTTCCTAGTGAATACACATAGATATCCCTCTTATACCCAAAAGTGTGGTTCTCAATCCTGGCTGCACATTTGAATCACCAGGAATGCTCTTAGAATATATCACTTCCTGGCCTCTGCCCCTAGAGGATCTGATTGAGTTGGTCTGGGATGAGGTGCTAGCATCAGCATTATTTTAAAACTCCCAAGTACTCTGAATATAAGCCAGGGATAGGAGGCTGTGCTCCCCAGGGTTTGGCAGGTACACATTTTCTCTCCTAGGGTGAGGTTCGTCAACCACTCAGCTGCGGAGGGCATACCTGAGCTTGGTAGGACCTCCAGGAAGAGTCTCCCTTTGTAAATCCCATCAGGGAAGGTATGATAGATGCAGGAGTACTCCCCAGTGTCATTTGTGGTCAGCAGCAGGAGGGTGAGGCCCAAGTTGGGGCCAGGGACCACTCGCTTCCTGAAGGCTGGGCAGACATACCACCCCATTTTAGGATGATGAGTGGCCAGAAGTTGGTTCTGCTGCTCCCAGTTGACCTGAGTGACCATGGTAGTGGTGGAGGAGAGGTGACATTGTAAGGCGACAGAGCCACCCTCCTCTGCAGAAATGTTCCCCACAGTGACTATTCTGCCTGTCACAGCTCCTAGGAAAGAGGACAAAGCTTGCATGAGTCCTGTGTCAACAGTTGGCCTTGATCCTTCCCCAGAGAAATTCCAAGGGGCTTTGAGGCCAGAATTGGCTTTCGGAATGCTAGCCTCCCCAGTCCATTCTGTCAGTCCCCCGTGTAGACGGTAATTGCTGCACAATGTAGTGCTTCACTCTCTCAGGATACCATAATATAGCTCAGCTCATTGATTATTTTCATATGCTTATTTTTCTCCCTACCGAGAATATAAACCCTGTCAGCCATTGCTTCTGTTTCATTGCATCTTCCAGCAGCCTGGTTCTGGGCTGGACACTTTATCGTTTGAAATAGAATCAGGCTGTTTGTTTGATTGCTGTTTGGGGTGCCTGGAAGACCCTTCCAGAAAGCCATGAAATCCAAAGGAAAGGAGCATTGAAGAGAAACCGTTTCTCCAAGGTAAACCACTCTTTCAGTACTCACCCCCCCGCAGCACCCTTGGACACAGCTCCACCCTCAGATGGTTCGGAAAGCAATATAAAAATTAATTCATACTACAGTTTTAAAATATTTCTGTCCCTTTTTAATACAGAAGGAGGTCAGTTTAACAAAGTCAATCGATAATGGTAGAATCTGTAGAACCTGCGAAGAAGACATTTTGTTCCACAGAAAATGTACAATGTTTTTCTAGAAGTTTCCTCCAGGACATTAAGAAAGGACGATGGAGCTGGAGTGAACTTATACAAGCAAACTGATCATTTCTCCTCCTTAGCCCCTTTATCTCTCCCTGCTTCCTTTCTTGAGTTAGCCTACCAGACACCCCCAACCCCAAGTCCTTCATCTGCCACCCAAAACAGAACTGTGCCTCCTTCTCAGAAGAGAGAACTCCACGGGACTCTGAAAACCGTGGTTTCCTTCCCACAAACAGATGTAACATTCACTCCCAGCCTCCTCCCTGCCCTTCCTCTGCCTCAGGTTCCAGGCTAGATTTTCAGTCCTTACCTGAGACAGGGAGGGGAGCCTGCCTCAGCCCCTGGGCCCAGATCAGAAGGAGACACCACTGCATGCTTCTGCCCAGGGGGCCTCCAGGAAGCAGATGTGGCCTCTTCTGCCACCGAAACTGGCCGACTGCAGATGGCAGGGTGAAACTGAGCCTATGAGGAGAAAGGGTCTCGGAAAAACTGAGTTCAGCAAAAACAAAGATAAAGCTCTCAACAAGCACACAAACAGCACAGGGTGAGCCACAAGAAAGACCATGAAGAAAACACATTAAAAAATAAGCAAAGACGTGGTAAGAAGTACACTACACTGGTCTTTGGATTCCTTAGTCAATCTTCTGTTTTCAGTTTTCTTACTGCCCTTCTTTTTTAAATCAGCCTTCATCTAACGAGCGCAGGGCATCTGTGTCATGACCAAGATTCTGTAGAACCTGCTACCAGTGGGGTTCACTGGCTCTCTCTGACTTCATCCTACTAAAGAATGTGCGAAGATAAGAGAAACTGAAGTTTGCATGCTTACAAGCTAGAAACTGTACTTGAAATCTAATAAGCCAGTGAACAAGAGGCATTTGCTTTGGAGAAAAGACATGGGTGTGACAAAGGGCTTGGACAGACACAGCAACTTTCTCTTGAATGAGGTCCTCTCCTTGAATCTTTTCTCTTCTGTCTTGTTTATCTGGACCGAAACTTTGTTGAATTCTATCTTAACCTTTCTGACCCAGTATTATCAGAGGAGGCCAGAAGAGTGAATTTTCTTGTGCATGGCGACACCATGAAAATCAGGAATGCAGAGAATGGTGAGCCCCGGTTGCCTGACCCTGAAAAGGGAATGGTTTCTCCTTGCCTGGAGCTCCCAGCTCATCATCAAATCCTACAGCTGAGTCATCCTCCTTCCTTCCCCCCTCCTTGCCTTCCTTCATTCGTTTGAAAGTCCCTGAGTGCTTATGAAGCACCAGACTCAACACCAGGCTCTGGAGAAAAAAGGGCGAATAATCATAGCACATTCCTCAGACAGTTCATAGTCAAAGCTCACTCTCTGGTGAAGCCACACTCTGGGGAAAGGAGGTGGAGGGTCCTCATTCACGTGCCTCCAGGGCTCACCACTGCTCCTTTGGGCATGCACCATGGTCTATGTCCTGAAAATCAGCAGCTCCACTAGGGGAAACGTCTGAAGCCTGGTGTTCTGCCCCCTCCATTCTGGCCAAGCACCCTGAGCATTCCATACTGAACAGGCTCCTATCTTCCTTCTCTACTGCAAGATGCTCCACCTCAGACCAGTTTCCTCCCCTCCCTGAGTTCTGCCTATTCCAAATTCTGCATCGTGACCCATGCACCCCCCACAGCCCACCTCCAGCCCTTTAGACAATATATGCCTCGCCAGCTTCTCTCTGCCTCTCCCAAATTCAACCTGTCCTTCAAGGCTTACATCAAGATACAACGCCACCCTTTCCAACAATCGCAGTCCCTTCAGCTAAAGGAGCAATAATACCCAATGTCTGTACAAGGGAAGGTGCTGAGGTTGAACTGGTGGGGTGTTTCCAAAACTGGTTGCCGAGACAAAGGTGCTAGGGGTGGCAGAACAAAGAGCAGCTGGTGGGGATGGAGCACGGAGAGAGGTGGACTCTGGGGTTTGGGCTATAAAAACTGTCCAGCCTGTGTTTCCATAGTGGGGGTAGCTGGAAACCATAGAGGCAGGACATGTCTTATATAATGAGAAATGTAAAGAAATTTAGACTGGGTTAAAAAAATAATAAAAGTAGTTAGAGAATTGTTCTATGTGTTTCTAAGCAACCAGTCCAAAGAGGAACACCGTCAAGTCCATTTTGATGAATGGTGCTCTCCAGAGTCATTGGAAGGTGGTGATTAGCGGACTCTAGTGTAAAAAATACATGGGTCCAAATTCATCCTGGTTTGGTGACCTTGGGAAAATTACTCAGCCTCCTTAAGACTCAGTTTCTTCATCTGCAATAAGAGCTACACTATCCCCTTCCTCTCTCATAATGTTGTGAGGACTAAGTGACCTAATGTTTGGTAAGGTGTGAAGCACAGTGCCTGGAACACAGGAAGGGTTCAATACATCCATGATAGCGTTAATAATAATATTAATTAAGGAAGTGAAAGGAAAATCGGAGGACAATCTCCCTCTCTTTTTATTGTCTTTTTATTCCTTTTTAATTAAATGCATTGGGGTGACAATGGTTAGTAAAATTACATAGGTTTCAAGTATACAATTTTATAATATTCATACATCATCTATATGACACATTGTGTGCTCACCACCCAGTCAGTTCTCCTTCCGTCACCATATGTTTGACCCCCTTTTACCCTCTTCTACCACCCCCTCACCACCATCCTCTGTTAACCACTAAACTCTTGTCTGTGTCTATGAGTTTTTGTTCCTTTATTTGTTTGTCTCGTTCCTTTGTTGCTCTCAGTTTTGCATACCACACATGAGTGAAGTCGTATGGTCTCAATGTAATGCATTTTGCCAGGAGTAAAACTCTGGTCTCTGGACTCCAAGGCCAGGGTTCTGTGCAACCTCTTCATTTTGTCATAAGCATATGATACAAGAATATGAGGATAAAATGTTTCTGTAGAAAAGTGGCCACTGTACCAGCTGGGCCCTGAAGAGGCCTTGGAGGAGGATGAATGACAGAAGTGTCTCCCGAAAGAACTTTCCAGAAGTCCCTCTTGGAGTCTCCTACTGGGACTCCGTCTGGAAACCTTCCTGGTATGGCCACCCACTCAGCAGCAGATACAGCCAAAGCTGAGCAACACAGCTCTGAGGAACAGGACTGGGCCACCTGAGCCTTTGGTGCCAGTCGGCAATCCCTGTGGCGTGGCACGAACCTCTGCGGTCAGTCAGATGCTGACTCACATTTCCATTTAAAAGTTCTAAAAGGAGCCACCATATTTTTTCTCCCCTCACTTTTGGGGTTGTGGGCTGTACATGTCCGATTAGCCTTGATGCAGCTAGGTGAGTGTCGGTGCTGGGGAAGGGACTCTGTTTGCACGTAAATGGGGAAGAAGTGCTGGCCTAGAATGTGAAATATTCCCAGGCTCCTTGAACACTTTCACAGCCCAGCTGCCCCCTGGCTCTACAAGCCTCACATGATCCCACAGCTGGCTCCACTGGCTACAGCTAGAAACGTGTGGCCTGGCAGGGATCCCAGCACTGGGCGAACAGAGCTGAGAGTGGTCACACTTTCCACAAGGCCTGTGACTTGTACACAGGAAACACTACCTATGGTTCTCTTGTGGGCACAGACCAATCTCTCTGGGCTTCAACCTCTCCAAAGCCCTCCAGACATGGTGGGGGCGCCTCAGAGATATCCCAACTTTCTTCTCCCTCCTTTCCCTGCCTCTCATCAAGTACAACACCCTGCAGCTTCAGGGTTGGTGACCTTCTCAGCCCAGGGCTCTCACTCTCTCTCAAAGACCAACGCCTCCTGCTGGTAGGTTGTCTTGTGGCCAAAGTAGCAAACAGGCCCCTGCTGCCTGCCGTCCACAAAGGGCTGTAGAAGCAGAGAAGACAGGAAGTGGGGAATTAAAGAGAACGCAGATGCCCAGCAAACACAGACGAGCCGGCCCTGTGTCCCTTCACCCCCATCCACTATTTGCTATAGCAAAATCACATCACAGAGCAACCATCTGAGCAGTGGGGTGGTTGTTGGAAAGCCCCTTTCAGAGACAGCTGCCTCAGAAAATCAGACTCAGCATGAAAGGAATATCTATCACCTGAAGCGTTTTAATGTCTGGGAGCCACAGGGTTTCTTAGCTGAAACTGGCTCATGGTGAATTCAGATGGGGACAATTTGGGGGTGGGATTGTTGACTGATATTAGTCCAAACTCCCTAGGATAAGGTGACTCTTAGGATCTCCCTGCCAAAGGCTGTCAAGGACTTCAGTGGACTACAGGAAATTTACTTTGCCTTCCCAGCTGTGAAAATAGGATAGAGAAGCCCCCCCGCCCCCATCAAGGAGAAGTTGGAATGCAGAGTCAGAAGAAAAGTCTTTGGGAAGAAGCAGCTGACGTCTCCTAAACTTAGGCCTCTCCTGCAGCCTCTCTTTAAAACCCTCCTATCCACCGACATCTGCCCCCTATATTCCTCCCCCATCCTAAATGTGATTATACTATCAATACACTCCCTAACCCCATCTACCTTGGCAAAGGTATCCTCTACCCCTGGGAACTTACTTCATACTTCCTGGAGCCTTCAACATCCAAGACAACTATTAATAGGATTGGGATAGAAGTACAAATGAACGTATCCTTCATTCAGAGGATCACTCAACCATCAAGTGTTCTCCTTCCACCAACAAAAGGAATGCCATGCCTAGATGGTTTCACAGGAGGATAATAACAAACCTTTAGAGAGCAGATAATTTCAATGTTAGTTAAAATATGCAGACATAGGACATAAAGGAAAACTTCCAAATTAGTTTTATGAAGTGAATTTCAAAATGATATAACAATTATTAAGATCGCACACAATAAAAGAAAATCAGCTCTTAGTCTCACTTACAAATATTGAGGAAAAAAATCTAAATAAAATATTGTCACACAGACCCCAATAGCATATTAAACAAAATGCATAATAACAAAATAGGATTTATTCCAGGGTTGCAAAGATGATTCAATACTAGGAAATCTATTAATATTAAATACTAGCTCTACAAAGAAAAAGCATATGGTTATTTCCTCTGATGCTGAAAAGAAATTTCAATCCTCATGACTGATTAAATAAAAAGCACTCAGTAAAATAAAAACTGATAAATTCTTTTTTAACATAACTACACACATACACTAGTCCCAAAGCCAATATCTCTTTTGATGCAAAAACACTAGAGGTATTCCCATGAAAGTCAGGAATAAGATAAGAATACTTACTATTGCCACAACTGGTTAACTTTTCAGAAGTATTAAGCAATTCAACTAAGTAAGAGCAGCAGTTAGAGACAGGAGAATTAAAAATAAGGACATAAAACTATTTCCAATTATTAATGATAATATAAATGGAAAACCCAAGAGAATCAATGGACAGAACACCACAAAAAATACAATTCTGCAAATTTCACAGGATATAAAATTAATATAAATAAGCAAATAGCTTTCCTATATACAATCAT